CCTAGAAAATGCAACCGCTGACGAAATAAGTATTAATTAATTTATTTTTAATTTAAAATATAAATGGTGACGCACAAATGATGTGTATATTCTGTGAATAAATTGCCAGTATATAATATGTTCGCCTGTAATTTTTATTTAGTAAATATATAAGATGCCTAGTACTGGTATAGTGCCTATGACATGACAATATATTTCTTAAAATGAGAATATTTTTTTTGTAATATAGTTAAATTATCCTTACATTTATATTACAGACGACGAACAGTCAGATGATGATAGAGAATAAAGTTATTGTAGAACATGCGGGAACACCCTGTACTAATTAATGAAAAAACAATTAAATTCGTTTGATTGCGATCTTTGATCTTAAAAATTTCACCGGAAGTTGACACAACAACAAGTGACAGAGTTTTTCTCCAAAAATCGTTGAGAAGAAGTGTCTAATTATAGTTGAAAACAGCAATATTGGTGGTAATTTTCAAAAATTGTCAGTTTTTTAACCCAAATTTTCTATTAAAAGTGGAGTCTGAATTGTATTGATATTTATTGTATCGCTCGAAGTATTGAAAGTGTAAGTTGCATACAATCCGTCTACGTGCGATATTTCGGATAAGTATGTAAAAATGACCGTTTTACACGTTTTCATTCATTGTCATATCGCCAGAACGAGCTAAAATAGCCTGTTTGAGCTATATAGCTCGATCGGGAGGGTTCCCTAGCCTGTTTAACTCTATCTTACGCGGTTGACCAATGTTGTTTGCGAACGCTCACAGTCTTCCATCAAATGGCACTGGTTCTAAACCAATTATTGTACGGTTTGTAAGGATGTGTGAGCGAGATCTTGTATTGGATCAAGTATATGCAGGCGCTCTCCCAAAAGGGATCTTCATCTTTAGTAGATCTCCCCCAGTAATGAAAGAACAACGTTACAAACGAATGCAAGTGGCATGTAAGTTAAGTAGATGGTGTGAACAAGTTTAAAAACCAGAATCCTAGAACTTAGTGATAAAGTGATGCTGCAAATAAGAAAGTCCACAGACGAGAAGTGGAATACCTATGGGGCACTAGTGTATAATCAATTAGACAATTAAAAAACAATATACTCTAAACAAGCTGCAGAAAAGTTGAATTCTGAAATAGTTCTTTTTTTCTTTTCTACTTTTTCTTTTTTTTTTTAGCTCACCAGAGCCGAAGGCTCAGGGTGAGCTATTAGTATCAAAGGGGGATGCTCCGGCGTCCATTGTCCGTCGTCATGCGTCAACAATTGTCTTCTTCTCTGAAACTACTAAGCAGATTTACTTCAAATTTGGTCTGTAGCATCCTTGTGACAGTCACACTTGAATTTGCTCATGTCATTCCAATTGGCCCCTTTTAGGGGTCAGCAGAGCTAAAAATAGAAAAACCCTTTAAATATCTTCTTCTACAGAACTAATTGATGGATGATCACCAAACTTTGTCTGTAGCATTCTTGGGTAGTCTTTTATCATGTTTGCTCATTAAAATTTGATTGGCTCCTTTTAGGGGTCTCTAGGGCTAAAAATAGAAAGACCTTTAAACATCATCTACAGAACTAATGGATGGATGATAAAGCCCCAGTCACATTAGAGCTTACGACCAGTGAAGACCAGTTCGTGATCACCAGTGACCTCTGGTCGCGGACAATCTTTAAAACGTCTTACGACGGTCATCGATGATCTTTGACAGTCGCAGGTTATCTTATTTAGGTCCCACGACCAATTTCAGTCGTAGAGAGGTTTTTGAGCTTGCACAAAAACCTCCTTGCGATCAAACAGGTCGCTAGTGATCTTATAAGGTCTTAAGAATGTCGCACGATGGTCGTTCGGAAGTGCGACAATCTTACGACAGCCTTTACAAATTGCCACTAGTCACTGATAATCTTAAGTAGTCTTGAGTAATCGTGTGATGGTCGTACGACAAGTTGTAGGTGATCGCATGTTATGTCACGGGTAGTCGTAAGTAATCCCAGGCAATCTTGAGACCATCGTACGTTTACTTATGACCTGTCGTGCAATTTTCAATGATGACTTGTCTTACGATCCTCGCAAAAGTAAATTTATCTGTGCAAAAATGGTTTCGGTCGCAGACAATCGCTGATGATCGTCAGTTTTACAAGTCGCCGGTGGTCGCAAGTAATCGTAAGCTCTAGTGTGACTGGGGTTTCACCAAACTTTGTCTGTAGCATTCTTGGGTAGTCTTTTATAAAGTTTGCTAATATTATTTTGATTGGCCCATTTTAGTGGCCGCTAAAGCTAAAAATAGAAAAACCTTTAAACATCTTCTCCTACAGAACTAATTGATTGATGATCACCAAACTTTGTCTGTAGCATTCTTGGGAAGTGTTTAATCAAGTTTGCTCATATTAATTTGTTTGGCCCCTTTGAGGGGCCGCAAAAGCTAAAAATAGAAATCACTTTAAATGTCTATTTCTAGAGAACGAATTAATGGATTATCACCAAAACTTTGTCTGTAGCATTCTTGGGTAGTCTTTTATCAAGTTTGCTCATATTAATTTGATTGGCCCCTTTTAGGGGCCGCAAAAGCTAAAAATAGAAAAACCGTTAAATGTCTATTTCTAGAGAACTAATTGATGGATGGTCACCAAACTTTGTCTGTAGCATTCTTGGGTAGTCTTTTATCATGTTTGCTAATATTATTTTGATTGCCCCTTTTTAGGGGCCGCAAAAGCTAAAAAATAGAAATAACTTTAAATGTCTATTTTTACAGAACTAATTGATGGATGGTCACCAAACTTTGTCTGTAGCATTCTTGGGTAGTCTTTTATCAAGTTTGCTCATATTAATTTGATTGGCCCCTGTTAGGGGCCGCAAAAGCTAAAAATAGAAGTACCGTTAAATGTCTATTTCTAGAGAACTAATTGATGGACGGTCACTAAACTTTGTCTGTAGCATTCTTGGATAGTCTTTTATCATGCTTGCTAATATTATTCTGATTGGCCTCTTTTAGGGGTCTCTAGGGCTAAAAATAGAAATAACTTTAAATGTCTATTTCTACAGAAATAATTGATGGATTATCACCAATCTTTGTCTGTAGCATTCTTGGGTAGTCTTTTATCATGTTTGCTAATATAATTTTGATTGCCCCTTTTAGGGGCCGCTTAAATTAAAAATAGAAATACCGTTAAACGTCTATTGCTACAGAACTAATTGATGGATTATCACCAATCTTTGTCTGTAGTATTATTGGGTAGTCTTTTATTAAGTTTGCTCATATTAATTTGATTAGCCCCTTTAAGGAGCCGCTAAAATTAAACATAGAAATACGTTTAAACATCTTTTGCTACAGAACTAATAAAAGGATGAACTGTAGCATTTTTGGGTAATCTTTTATCAAGTTTGCTCATATTCATTTGATTGGCCCTTTTTAGGGGCCAATTAAGCTAAAAATAGAAAAACCTTTAAACATCTTCTACTTCAGAACCAATTGCTGGATGATCACCAAACTTTGTATTTATCTATTTTGTCTGTAGCATTCTTGGGTACTCTTTTATCAAGTTTGCTTATATTAATTTGATTAGCCCCTTTTAGGGGCCACTAAAGCTAAAAATAGAAAAAGCCTTCGAACATCATTTCCTACTCAAATCATTGATAGATGATCACCAAATTTGTAGCATTCTTAGGTGGTCTTTTATCAAGCTGGCTCATATAAATCTGACTAGCCCCGTTTAAGCTAAAGCTTAAATGCCCCAGGTCATGGCATTTCTTCAAATTATTCAAACATATTCTATGCTCAAATTTAATATTAGAATATATTGACATTCCAACACAGCAGTTGAAAAGCAGTTGTTTCTGGTGAGCGACTCAGGGCCATCATGGCCCTCTTGCTTTAATTTTCGTTTCATTTTTGGTCAGATTATCATTATAAAATACTGTAATGTTACACTATAAATGTATACTGAATGTTAGATTTTATGTTTTTGGAGTTTGTTTGCTATTTTCTTTTACATGCATACATTACATGTTGGTGAATCTTTTCAGTTAACATGACAAAAATAAATTAAACTCTTCCTTATACAGATAGTATGTCAAATGCTTTCTTTTTTCAATGCGTAAATATAACTGCTGCCCAATTAATACTTTAAAACTGTCATCGCATGTTTTAACCCTGTCCCCAGTTAAACAATTTCAAACAATTAGATGCTGTTGTATTATTATTTACAACATAAACGTTTATTCATGTCAGGCTCATATACAGAACAACATGACAGAAAATAAAAGTTGGATAGTGATGAAACATCTCCTATATGTACAACAATTAACGAATGTAAAACAAACAAAAAATACACATTGACAAAGTTAACCTACATAATAGTTTACTGTCATTATAGAAGTACCCGTATGTTTACATACTCTATATAGTAATACAAAAACTACATAATGCACTGGACTAGTAAATAAAGAATGAAACGTCAAATTCCTATTTAACAAAATACAATAGTAAGGTTGTTTTTCTAGATAAATAAAGTATCTTCGTATATATAAACAAATTGAATAGGTAAATTCAAATCTAACGGGACAAACTGAAATCCATACACCGTTGAGAAGTATTTTTTACAACATTTACTATCAATGTCCTTGGCGCACAGGAAGCACGATATTTCATTCATAGATTATCTAAAGTAGGCGTGGCCAAGACTGAAGATCTTTCGGCGTAACCAAGCAACGGTGTGGTCGAAAATCGAGGCACAAATCAAAAGTGCTCGCGTACTAGTCAGAGTGAAAAATAATAAATGGATTTATTGTTCATAGGAATATTTTGTAATAAGTGGATGGCTTTGCATCGGTGAGTAATAATGATTTACAAAAAAATAATAAAAAATAACAGTAAATAGTAAAGCTCAACGAATAGCGATTTTATTAGTGAAATTTATTGAAATGTTTTTAGAATTATTGTAAAAAACTTAGTGATTTGTTTAACAGGTCTAAGAAATACATTGAATCACTCATTATCTATATATACACACATGATCTGTATATTAACAAAAATATAAATATGTAAATTTAAAGAATCACAGTCCAAATAAAACAGTATTTCCGCCCTGCGCATCGAAAAACAAAAATCCGCATTCCGGTTCCGCTATGTACGAATTGTTTACAGTGCGAAAAGAGCCAGTGAACAAGAATTTCCAACATATATAGCCTACTTGAGATTTGTCGGCTGAAACTGTTTATTACAGTAAGTTACAATGAAATATGAGTGACAAAAAGGGTAAAATATACCTGTAACATTTAAATAATGCAATGAAATTGACTTTTATGTGAAAAAAAACTGTTCTTCCTTCTATTCAACGCCATTTTGCCAGACTGGTTTACTCCCTATGTAATCTGTATCACAAAGAAGCTTACTTCAAATGTAACACAACAAATAGTAAAAATATGTAAATTGTGTATTTTGAAAGTCTAAAAAATGTTGTTAATAATGTAAAATAAAACAAGTTATGACCCATATCTTATTCTTTGTTTATCATATTTCCTAATGATATAGAAAATTAAATATTATCTTGCCAGTTTATATTTTATCTATCTATTTAAAATGTTGACTGTTGAGCGATATGGTTCAAAGTTCAAGTTTTGATAAATTGTCTCATAGCCTATTAGTGTAATTAGTTATTTCAAATTTAAATAACGCCAATCAATAAAAGCAGATTACACATATCTTTATTGCAGAAACAATCAGCATGCCTCCAAAGAGAAAATGCTCATGCAGGGATCACGATGAATTAAGTACTTCGGATTCTCCAGTGTCTTCCATTGTGTCAAGCAAAAAGTTAAAAAAAACTGCTTTAAACTATTTAAAAGATAATAATTTATTACAATCATATCATAAATACTTGTGTGAAGGTTGCTATATGTTTGCATTAAACCATGCCACCACAGCAAAGTATGTTTTTAACGAATTTTGCTCATTAATTGAAAATAATGATATAGAACAGGATGATTTTATTTTGTTGTCAAGAAGTTATGCCAAGCTTATTAAAATAAGACTACGAGGAATTAAGAGTGACTATGTGTCAAAATATATAGAGGGGCTGTTATTTGAAAATTTATGGAGTGATATGGATGTTGCTGTTAGGGAGTTCTTTCTAGAGTTTTGCGAAGAAGCAGCAAGTAAAAATAATTGTGCAATTAATGCTTATGAAAATCTTGTACAATTGGCAAGTCCTTCCTACATAGGGCCTTTAAATTTTGCAAAAACAGTCATATCTTATTTTGTAACAGGAAGCAGACAATTAGTTGAGCTTAATGCAGCGTTTTCACCTTCAGGCTCCTATGTCACTGTGTTAGAATTCCTCAAATCCAAAGCTGTAAATGAGCAAAAAGTACCAGAATTGAAAGACTGTATTTATTTCTTTGATAATAATCAAATAATGGCAAGAAACTGGAATGTCAAATATGACTTAAAGCCACTGATAAGTGTTGTAACAACAAATGCATGTCTGATACCACCATGTGAAACTGAGTTACAAAAAAATGAATCGTTCATCCCAGCTTCATGGCATTATCTTCAGTCTATAAATGGCGGTGAAAATATTATCACAGAAAACAACAACTTATTTAGAGGTCAGCGTAATGAATATATAAACCATGTTATTTCTGAAATAATGAAAACAAATGATGGACCTCCCCCACAGAAATTGCGCAAAATAACGGTTGAACCAGTTACCGGTCGAAGCACATCTGAGTTGCGAGCCATGAAAGATCCCTATGATGACATACCTTCTAACGTTTCTGGAAAAACCAACGTATTAGTACTGAAACCTATTCCAGTAAATCCATGTTCGTTTAATTCCCTAGAAATAGTTTTAGACACTATCGTTGAGAAAAGCAACAAAACCTGGCTAGCTATTGGTTGCGATGGTCTACCATTCTATTTATGTTCTAAAGTTATTGACAATATATTCATATGCCCGCACTGTGGAATAAAATTTACAAAGACATTAGCATTTGAAAATCATATAGAAAATGAAAATATAAACGTGGATTTAGAATTGTGCAAAAAAATAAAACCATTCTACTGCTTCCTGGGTTTGGACACTTAGATATCAATATAACAAAAGCATTTAATTTATATAAACTGTTATGGAAAGTTTGCATCAAAGACCTTGCACTACTGTTAGGATGGAAATCTGTAAACGCGCTTACGGCATGTGAAAAGTATACAGATCATCATAAAGCCACGCAAATTTTATCAATCTTATTTGAAAGCTTATCAACGGAACTTCTGTCTCCATTTATTCAACACTGCATTGAACAAAAAGAACAACCAAATATTGAAAATTTATACAAATACGTTCCTAATCAAAATTCAAATTACATCTTCTTATTTAAATGTAACTTCACTTATCTTTTGGCTTGGAAAAATTTCAAAAAAGGAATGAGAAGAGGGAATTTCAAAATTATGAAAATGGCACTTGACAAACTAACAAATCTTTTCCATGGTTTAAACATGACAATCTATATGGACCAATGGTTTAAATTCGAAAACATCCTGTTAAAAGCACCGCCCGAGATTAAATCATTCATTGAAGAAAACATATGTTTATCACAGTCTGGACATCCAAGTAAAGCCGAGGGCGGTGACTTCATACTTGAGTCAACTAATAAAAGGATCAAGTCTTATATGCCATATGGTGTTCCCACTGATGAGAGATGGACAAGAGTTTGCCTCAATATTGATAATATTGAAAAGGTTCGGTATATCACTTAAAATAATACTTAACCTAATTATTTAAACATAGAATGCATATATATTGACAGTTTTGTTAAAATACTTGAAATATAAGAAATGTATATATAATAAAATAATATAAATAATTTATTTACATAAAAAACATGTTTTGATACTCATGTTTAATTTCCTCATAAATTATATTTTAATTTTGTTTTAGATGAAAAAGGCGGTGACTAGATCTACGTGTATAGATACTGATAATGATGAAGCACCAAACAGATATTTCAGGTATTTATCGGTATTGATTACAAATCTACTTCAATATATTCCTCAGTTTTGTTAGCATATTATGCAAATATGATATTTACTTTACTTTTTGTGACATTTCATATAATAATAAATATCATTTTATTTGTAACTGTTTCAGACATTCAAAGACCCTGATGCTGTCTCTGAGTTTTCAAAGAAGATGCGAGCGTACTTGAGAACCCAAGGACCTCACACAACAATGGACGGCAAACTGCTGGATGAAAATCTTTTAGATTTTGAGGACAAATGTCAGGAAAACAAAATAAAATATTATGAAAACTATCCAGACATTTTGAGGTAAATGATATATTACGAAAATAACTTGATTTGTTTCAGCAGCTAAACAAATATATGATAAAACATTCTTGTCTGTTTTTACAGGAAATGTGAACGCATTTTCATTACCCCTGAAGACAGAGTGGCACATTTCGATGTTTCAAATAAAAGCAAATCTGAAATACAGAAGATGGTTTGAAGGTAGTACACCCCTAATGCACTGTCTCCACTTTGAAGAGTATTCAAATAGGCTAAAATCACTGTAAAGTGTATTGAAACTGAGGGGGCGTGGGTTCAAACCCCAGAGGGGGCAATTTTTTTTTCTTTCTTTTTTTTTTCTTTTTAACATTTTTTATTAATCTCTCAGACCCCCTATGGAAGAAAAAAGTGTTTTATTTTAATTATATAATTATTGTAGGTATCTATTTACTAAATAATGCCAAATTTAATAGCAAATATGATACCAGATATTTTCAAAGTTTAATAAAATAAAAACTAAACGGTAAAAGTATTTTATATTTTGCAAGACCAACCAATATACATTAAAGAAAATTTAGGCAAATTTTGAAAATAGCCCCTCATTTTGGAAATTTTTAGGGATATTTTAAATAAGGCTTTTTACATAGGGAAATGGTCAAATTAGTTTAAAAGTGGGTGGGGTAGGGTTACATTTTTATACATATTAAAAAACATTTCGTTTAAAAACAATCATTTTGCTTGTTTAATTTGTTACCTTTATGTCATTGTTTATTTCTTATCAATGAGCGAAAGGAAAACATTTTTCATAATGATGATATTATAGATTATTTAGAGTTTCCTCATTGCTGAAAAAAATCCCTTCTAATGGCAAAGTTTTATTTCATAAAAATGTACATAACTCATAAACCACACGGTAAATTTTGTTTAAATTTTGCATACAGGTGACATTTAAGGCATATAACTGTCCTATGTTGTCAAATTTACAATTCCTTATAGTGCCCATTAGGGGCGTACTACCTTAAATATGTTAAAGGTGAGCAGTATATTTCGTATAATTACCTGCAAATGAAATATGTATTGCACATTTAAAGAAACATTCTGTAACATTCATTGTAAATATTTCTCAATCAGGAATTGGAAAATGCAGGAGGAAAAGAGGAGTCAGTTGGTCTGAGACGTCAGTTGACCACTGAGGTGAAAAACGGGACAAAAAATGTTCTTCTCACATTTTATAGAGAACTTCAACAATGTTAAGATGAGGTCAAGAATAAAAATGATGTTATTGGTATGTTTACAAAATTCAAAAAGTGAGCTCAATCAATTTATTTACGGTGAAAAGGACACAAATATGGCAAGTTTTTACAAAACACCGGTGTTATCTTTTTACTATCACCCAGCAAACACTTCGCCTCCAGCCAGTAGTCACACTTGTCTGATTCGCATCCAATCCACAGCTTCTGATTGGTTCTAGAATCGTCTGCGTACTTTTTCCCGCATACTCTGCAATGTCTATCATTGCCGATACCATTGGATATATTATCAATGAGGGCGCACTGGACCGCAACATCTGATGTGGTTTTTCCTCTCTGTCTTATCGCTTTGAAGGATAAATAGGCATCTGAGCAGCTTGGCATATCCACATTCTGCCTTGTCTGTTTAAAAAATAATTATGTTTACATAAATAATAACATAACTCATAAAATCATCTCACTAATTTTTTTTTATTTTATACATTGAATTTTACATTGCTCACTGTTGCTATCCAAATGATTTAATAGTGCTAACCTGTCAAATGAAATACATAAACTTAGTTACACAATTACATTGCAGGAACTGATAGTGAAGAAGAGGATTTAGATTAATATATACTTCATCTACATACCTGTCCATTTGTCGGCGTGTCTGTGTCTTTGGAACTGTTTGATGTATAATACTGGTCTCTAATTTACAGGGTTATATCATCCCCAGTTATTGTTGCATATTCTAGGGCCTGGAATGTTTGTATGTAATTAATTAATTTAATTAAGTTATATACAATTTATTGTTATTAAATTTCAAATATCAATTGTTTAACATTAACTTACTACTGAATATAAAAAGGTATTACCTTCTTAAATAGTCCATTTTTCGGCTATGGCGGACCTGTTGCCTCTTGTTTTTGTCTTCAATGAAACACACTTCGACTTGCAGCTACCGGTGCCTTTCCCTTCTCGTGGGCTGTCTGCCTTTTACGTCCGAACTGAAAGGGATGCTGTGGGGAAAAGAAAATTTAGTGAAAAGAATATGTTCATTTGATAAAAACACTAAAGCTTTAATTATATTAAATTTAAGTTTTAAATTGTTTCAAAATGACTATTTTGATATAATATATGAATATGTAAGATATTTTAAGATACATTAATAATTGGAAATAAGAAAGATATCTCCGCCAAACTTGAAAATCAAGCTCCTGGCTGCTGCAGCTGCGTGATGCTAAAAAAACGTAGTATAATTAGTCACGTTTTCAAGATGGCAGACAGCAACACCAAATTACGACAGTGTAACATTTTATAATGTATATTTATGTTTGTTTATATCTCTAATTCTTTTTATTTGCTTTAATTCAATTCAAAATTGCGGAACAAAGTATGAAATAGGTATGTTATTGAAAAAATAACTTTTTAAAACGTGTACATACCGATGTTGCCATGTTTTCAAGTAGTTTCTCTTATGCGGATTTTTGTGTTTATATGTTGCACGGGAAAAACAAGGTTTTTCGAAAGGCATTTCTGTGTTTTTACAAAACATCGATTTTGTAAATATACAGATCATGTGTGTATATATAGATAATGTGTGATTCAATGTATTTCTTAGACCTGTTTTAGGATATTATATGAATTAGTATTTAGTAATTCTTTGAAAAGTAATGTATTTGGTCTTGAAAAAAATCGACTAGGTATAAATAGTTGCCTGGATTGAGAGAAAAATGGGCAGACTAGGATATAGTGATATTCGTCTCCTAGATAATTTAAAGAGCATAACGTGCATTTCCTAGACTCGAGCGGAACAAGAGATTGCCTCCATCTCCCCACTTCGATCGGTAACCGGTTGCTCCCTGTCCGAAATTTAAACATTGATATTCTTAATTTTATTGGAAGTTCGGTAAGGTATTTTTCTACTTCAATGCTATTTTTAAAACGCCGAGGAAATCATGTTTTTCTCGTACGAAATACATCTACCGGGAATTCGCTCGAAAAATGTGGTCCGAACAGTCAGCAAGTGCTCGAATTACCGTCTTATGTATCAAAGTACATGAAGTATTATTTATTTGCCTCTACGTATATGTAAAATTCTAAAGTACTGTACAGTATATGAAACATTTTGGAAAATGAATCATAGTTATTAAATTATTTGTTTTCAGTCATATACTTATTCATGTATGTATTTTTATTTCTTTTTGAAGAATGGATCCACGATAAACCAAAACGAATAACAAATCATAAAAAAGAAATTGCTCCTAGAATTCCCAGAAGGAGAAGTGGGAAAACGGTCGTGTCATTCATAGAAGACCTTGGTAAAAGGCGGAAAACTCTCTCTCAGAGAAAGAGTGGTCTTTTATATGAAACTAAATAAATGCGCCAATATATATATATATAAATGAAATAAATA